TGACCTCAGAAGCTTAGCAGATTAACCATAGTTAGTACTTGGATGGGAAACTATCAGGAAACACCACGGCTTAGGTTAGATGAGAAGCTGCAGAAAGCATTTGAAAAGCAATTTTTTTTAAAAAATGGGAGGGGTAAAATTGCGTAGTCTAGATCAGTGTTTTTCAAACTTGGCAACTTTAAGATGTGTGGACTTCCACTCCCAGAATTCCCCAGTCAGCAATGGCAGTGTTTTTCAAACTTGGCAACTTTAAGATGTGTGGACTTCCACTCCCAGAATTCCCCAGTCAGCAATGGCAGTGTTTTTCAAACTTGGCAACTTTAAGATGTGTGGACTTCAACTCCCAGAATTCTCCATTGCTGACTGGGGAATTCTGGGAGTGGAAGTCCACACATGTTAAAGTTGCTGAATTTGAAAAACACTGGTCTAGATCACAGTCTTGTATTAAGATTTTTGTGTTTTTCTTTTTTCCCCCATTCCTTTTTTAAAACTGAAGTTACAGGAGCAATGTCCAAGAAGCCTTTAAACGTCCCTGTGGAAAATGGGCAAGCAGACAAGACGGAGGTGGAGAATGGACATCCCAACCTGACACCTCCCACTCTTAGCACCTCCAGTGTGGAGGAGATGGTTCAGCAGATGAAAGAGCTCATTACGGAGAACAATGAGCTTAAAGGTGAACATTAAAAATTGAACATTGCCTGCAATTCCTTCTCCGCCCCAGATGTTCCACAGAGTATACCGGCCTGGAGTGACCTTCCTTGTATGCTCAAAGTCAGACAGTTTACAATCTTGCTTAGTCAGCGCCATGCTATTGAGGGTGCTAGAGATGGCAGCTCTGAGTCTCTCCACCCTGTAGTAAGAGTTTCTAACATACACTAGGTTTAAGATGCCCTGGACTTACATGATTCAGGTTCTTCTAATCCAGTGTTTTTCAACCTTGGGAACTTTGAGATGAGTGGACTTCAATTCCCATGCTGGCTGAGGAATTCTGGAAGTTGAAGTCCAATCATCTTAAAGTTGCCAAGGTTGAGTAACACTGCTCTAGTCCTTGGCGTATGGGCAATTGATTCAAATCCATTTAATTCAGAAACTAGGCAATAGAATGGGTGTGTCCATGTTGGCTGTGTCCAAGTTGTCAGCAGTCAGGCTTGACTGGAGAGAAAATTGTTTCTTAGCAAATAAAACAAAGCAAAATATGTGGACAGAATAAAACTTCCTTTGTTATCCATGGTTTTGCATATTTCTGAGTATTAATTCCAGTCTAGATTTTAGTATATACATACAATTTTTTGCATATCTGCATTTTTGAAGCGATTTTTGTTACTTTACTCATGCACAAAATAAAGGATGGACTTGTGTGTAAACAAAGTTTTTTTCCCCTTAAGTTAGACCACCTGTACAACAAACCTGTATATTTGTCCCTCCTCCTCAGTTGGTTGTGCCAGATCTCCTTGAGTCATCTGATCTTGAGGTTCCTCCTGGCTCTTGGTCTTGTTTTTGTCTTTGGAGGAACTTGCTCAGTTGATGGTGGAGGGAGTAGTTCTTCATCCCACTGGTTTCCCTGCTCTGCCCACCATTTTTACAATCTTGATGGAGGATCCTGTCAGTCATGTCACTAGATGCAATTTCTGCTCACCACTCCTCCTTTCCTATATCAGACACATTTTCTTTCTACATCAGTTGATATATGAGAGTCCAGCTTCAAAGATGTTAATCCCCATTTGATTCCTCTTGGGAAATTTAGTTGATGAACCATGCAAAATGTAAGAAATGACTTCTGGCCAAGTTTGGGTTACAGACCCATGCTGATCCAGTCTTGCACTGAACACACTTTATTTATTTCCTTTTCTGACAATGTCAACAATGTTTGCAGATGGCAACCTTGGTAGATTGTCAGTGCCCTCCCCAAAGTATTTTCTCGAACCTGCATTCAGGTTTTAGGGAATGGGTCATTCTGACACCTAATTTGGTATTCCTTTGGGTCAACCAGAAACCATGAGGCAGCGGAACCAAGCAATGAAAGATCGCTTTGAGGAGCTTTCTGCTTGGAAAGAGAAGCTGAAAGAAGAGCGGGAGTTTTATGAATCGAAATTCAAGGAAGCCAGGCAGTGCTTGGCAACCAAGTGTCTTGAGAATGAAGGCCTCCAAAATAAACTCCGAACCCTGGAAGAGAAGGAAGAAGGGATCGCAAATGTAAGTAAAAAAGAATTTTGATTTCTCTGGGGCTGAGAAGGAATAGGATGACCCCCAAAACTGATACAACTAGAAAGGCTGTTTGTTGTATTGCCTGATGAAAGAATAGGAATTACAGATTACAAGAATCCATTTGTCGTCATAGCATCCAAAGCATACTTAGTAAGGAGTCAACCTAGTTAAATTTAGTTGGACTTATTTGTACATAGTTAGGTATGTAGGCTCACATTGCCAATGTACAATAATATGTTCAGATGCTGCTCTTTATTGGGACAGATCCCGTTGGTACAATAATTATTTTTTAGAAAATGTCCCCCTAGATACAGTGTTTGTTCCTTGTCATCAAGCCTTGTTGATGGTGAGACATAGCTTCTCCTCTTCAGGTACTTAGCAAAAGTAAATTGATCAGTGTGCAAGCAGAACCAGGATGAAGCAACCAAATCCTACTCTTGCATGTTGCTCTTCCTTAAGCATCCACCTTTATCAGTAACCTCCAGGACAGTGCAAAGATCTATAGAGAGAGAATAGTCACGCGTGCAGCTGCAGGCAGGCAAGTGTCCATGATAGATCCTGATAATCTAATATTCCCATTGCATGGAGTCCTCCATGCTATAGGCTCTACTGCAAAGGCTTCCTTCCAACAAACATTCAGGTTGTGATCAAGTGCAAAGTCAAGAGCTGGGCTACACAGCATGACCTTTAGCTTTACTTTAACTAATACTGCATTGGGCTTACGAAAGTTGAATGTTCTGCTGTTTTCCTTGCTGTTCTGTAGCATCTTGGCTGCTCTTGAAGTTGACTCACCCATGGATTACTTCTCTTAGGAATGCACTGTTTCTAGGAAGGAGATGACCCAAGAACTAGAGCAACTGAAGGCCCAGGTGGCAAAGCTGCAGGCTGAAAAGGCAGATCTGGTTGCCATCATTTCAGAGCTGCAGCTGAAGCTCAGCGCTGCTGCAACCGAAGACTCGTTTGTTGAGATCAGAATGCATGTAAGCTACATCTGCCTCTTTGCAAAGAAAAATAAATCCTACCCCTTGGGTATTTCCTTGATATTACATACTTAAGTTGAAGGCATATGATGCTTCCAGCGAAAGCATTTTTTAAAATGGTGGTAATGGTGTCATCTTACAATAAAGCTGAGAGAGAATTGTAAAGTACGGTAAGGTCATTTAGTCCAGCATCCTGCTAGTGCAGGATCCAGGCATCTCCAGCCTCTGTTTGAAGACCTCTGAGTGAAGGAGGACTCACTGTTTCATGTAGCAGCCTGTTCCACTGGCTGACAGCTCATATAGTCAGGAAGTTCTTCTGATGTCTAGCCTGAACCTCCATCCTTGTAATTTTAACTTATTGGTTCTGCTTCTGCCCTCAGCGGCAATAGAAAATAAATCTACTCTCTCTTCTGTGCACAATCCTTCAGATACTTGAAGATTCCTAACATTTTGCCCTTTGTTTGTCTCTTCTGTCAGCTAATCATACCCAGATCTTTTAACCGTTCCTCAAAAGGTGGATTTTCCACCATCTTGAGAGCCCTCATCTGAACATGCTCCAGTTCCTCACCGCCCTTTTTGAAAAGCAGTGCCCTGAACTGGGCACAATTCTCCAGTGGTGTCTGACCAGGACAGAGTAGAGTGGAATAAATCCTTCCCAAGATCTGGATTCTGCTTTCCTCTTAAAGCACGCCAATATAGCATTTGCCTGTTTAACAGGTGCATCACATTGCTGGGTCATGGTTATCAAGGACACCCAGATCTTTTTCGTGTGTTTTATCAAGCAAGGTCTCCCCCACAATTTTTCTTCCTCCAATGCAGAACTTCACATGTTCTCCTCTTTGTTGCAGGCCACTTTTCAATATTTTTTCAATATTCTTTCTCTTCTCTAAATTATCAACCACCACTCGCAGGTTTGCATCATCTGCAAAACGTGGTAAGCATTCCCCTACTTCCTCATCCAAGATATTGATAAAAGTGTTGAATAGCACAGAATCAAGGCCAGAGCCTTGTGGCACTCAACTCAGTCCTTCCCTCCAAGCTGAACCCTTAACAGGCATCATTCAGCCAGTTGCGAGTCCCTCTAGCACAGTGTTTCTCAACCTTGGCAACTTAAAGATGTGTGGACTACAACTCCCAGAATTCCCCAGCCAGCCATGCTGGCTGGGGAATTCTG